GCCCGGGAAGCATGGGTTGGAGGTGAGGGGGGTACATTTTGGCATGAGAGACAGCCAGGACAAAGTTGAAGAGGTGGGAGATGGAGTGTGGTTTTCAAGAAACAGCAAGATGTGGAGGGAAGAAAAGGCTTAAAAAAAAATGGGAGGGGGCGAGTAGTGAAAATTGTAAGCTCCTTGAGGGCAGAGACTATTTTTGCCTCTTTTTGTATCCCCAGCATTTAGCACAGTGCCTTGCACATAGTAGTTACTCAATAAATGTTTATTGATTGATTGATTCAAATTCTAGATGACTTTATATTTGATGGATGCTGGAGGTAATAGGGAGTCACAGGAGTTTACTGAGTAAGGGAGGTGACATGGTCAGATCTGTGGTTTAGGTAAATCATTTTGGCAGTTGAGTAGTGGATGGCTTAAAGTGGCAAGGAGACCAATTATAAAGCTGCTGCAGTGGTTCAGGCCTGAGGTGATGATGGCCTGCCCTAGAGGGGCAGCAATGTCAAAGGAGAGAGGGGGTGTATATGAGAGATGTTGTGAAGGTAGAAACATGATTGGTCAATGAATGGACTTGGTGGGGTGAGCTTGAGTGAGGAGATTTGGGGACTGGAGGAACACTGGGGCCCTTGACAGTAATGGGAAAGCCAGAGAGAGTGAAGAGTTTTGTGGGAAAGTGAAGGAGCTCTGTTTTGGCCACGTTTGGTTTGAGATGTCCATGGGACCAGATCACGATGTCCAGAGGGCTGTTGGTAACATAGGACTGATATTCAGGAGGGAGATCATGCCCGGATGTGGATGGAGAGCTGGGAAACATATGCACAGAGACAGTCATTGAATCCATGGGGGCTGATGAGATCATCAAGTGAGACATTCTATAGAGAAAATGGGGCCCTGTATAGAAAGCTCTAAATGTAATCTTGCCTGTGAGACTTATTACCTTCGATCCCAATGGAGAATGCCCTCTGAAATAAGAGTGAAGACCTCACCTCCATGAACCTCTCCATGTCCATGCCCTCATCTGGGCACTCTGCTGCCTTTTTTGTGACCAGGAAGCAGAGGATGGTAGTGTCTGAAGGTGGTTTGTCATTATGTGAGTATCTGAGAGCCCTTGGCATCTCTTAGGGATTTCAAAGGACTAGAGCAGGAGCTATCAAGGAGGAAACACTTGGAAGTGGCCAGAAAACGTGGAGAATCCTATCACGGATGTTAGTCTATGGAGTGTAAAGGTAAGGGATGGGTGGCTGAATAAGGATGAATTTGGAAAAGGCTCCAGAGAAATTACTTTGACTACCTGGGCAACAGCAGTCTTCAACATAAAGGGCTCCGAAGAGCCTATTGGTTTAGAGCCCAATTTGAAATGATTCTCAACCAAGAAAGTGCTTGGAATTTGCACTAACCATGTCAGAATTAGGACGCTCCATTGGCACGCTGCTTTAGTTTTGGTAATGTCTAGGACACAGTAGTAAGGTAGTGAATGAAGAAAGCAGGCAGTTTTCTAATGGTCCTAGAGGAAAAGATGAACAGATGTTAACTTAATGATGTAGTGGGATGTAGGGTGGGTACACTATCTCTTCAAAGTCAGTCCCCATATTTGAATCTGAGTTAGCACATTACTTCAAATCCTCAGCCAGTTAAAACCTAATCAAACCCTCCTCTGTTATATAAGCCATGTTTAAATTGAGGAAACATTGCTATTTGTTAGTTAAGTGGTTTTGTGCCCTTGGTCATTGATGGCATGGGGTCCAGGGGTTGGTCTGTGAGACAAAACTATTGGTTTTAGTTTGAAGCGGTCACAAAAAGCCACGGCAGCTGAGGGCAATGCTTTGGAAAGAACAGAAGTTTTATCCTCAGAAGACTAGGGTTCTGATCTCTGTCATTATTAGGCATGTAATGTTGGGCAGCTAGGTGGCTTGGTGGATGGAGTTCCCAGCCTGGAGTCAGGAAGACCTGAATCCAAGGGTGGCCTCAGATGCTTACTAGCAGTGTGACCCTGGGCAAGTCACTTACCCCTGTTTGACTCAATTTCCTTATCTGTAAAATGAACTGGAGAAGGAAATGGCAAACCACTACAGTATCTAAACCCCAAATGGGGTCATGAAGAGTCAGACAGGCCTGAACAACAACCTTCTCTCTGAGTCTCAGTTTCCTTATCCAAAGAACAACAGGGCTGTGTTAAATGACAGCCAATCATCTCTCTAGGATCTTCTCTAGGCCCAGATGCTCTCTGGCGTCCACTTTCACCTCAAAATCTTTTGTTCCTTTAATCTGTGACAAGGTAAAAAAGGTACCCACAGTGTGCATGAGCAGACAATTAGAAAACCTGAGATTTTTCATTTTTAATATGACATATGCAATAGTATATTTTAAATCGCCTGCTATTAAAAGCCTGAGACTGTTCTCAGGGCCTGTCCCCTCCCTCAGTTTCCATCAGTACTTCTAGCTTAACCCTCTGTAATAGTGAAGACTTGGGTGTCAAAGTAACCAATGTCCCACCAACGTTGTAGCCATAGCTCCTTGTTTCCAGGGAGCCTCACCATAATAACAAATGTATCCTGTCTCACTTTGGCTTGTTACACGGAGACTGATGAGGAAAGAATCAAGCAGGGCTCTCTCCACTGTATCCACTGCCTTATGGCCTATGTGCCAATGAAGTGGGTTCACCCCCAACATCTGCCTGCCTGCTTTGTCCCCATGACATGGAGATTCATCTGGCTTCGTAGCATAGAAATATTTAGGCATTTGTTCTGTGCTAAAAGCCAGAAGACAGGATAAATCCTAGACCTCACTAGTGACAGCTTCTCTAATGGTCTTACCATAGGGCAAGGGTGCTCTAGAGCAGTGGTGTCAAACTCAAGTAGAAATGGGCCATTTAGGGATCCCTGAGGGTGCATGATGACTTGGAAAACCATATATTAATGTGATCAATGTTTTGTTGTATTTTTATCTATTTTGTTGAATATTTTCCAGTTCCATTTTCAGCTGGTTCCTCCACTAATCTACAGCCAAGTCTCTATCACGTGGGTTGGATTATGAGACGCAAAGTAGAGTGAGCCCAGTGGATTTACTGTTAGGAGATTTGGGTTCGAATCCTGCCATTTACTCTCAGATTACCTTGCACGGTCCAAAGGATCATAGTTTTACAGCTGAAAGGGACCTCAGAGATCATTAAATCCAACCTATCCATTTCACAGATGAGGAAGCTGAGACCCAGAAAGGAAAGGTGGCTTGGCCATAGACACAGACTCAGTATGTGGCGGTCAAGATCTGAATGAGTGTCTGATTCCACAGCCTGAGCTCCGGCCGCTGCAGGCTGCACCCCTAACTGTCCAGGCTTTCTCTCATCTGTCACAGCAACTTCTTCAGCTTGGAAGGACTGTCTTGGCCTTGTGGCTCCTTCCAAGCTGTGAATGGCTGGTTCTTCCCAGATCCTCCCTTTGAGGAAGATATCCAGACCAGCCAGCTCTTCATTCCAGTCCAGCCTGCATTCGGAGTCCCCAGACTTTCTCTACCATGACCCTGTGTGGGTAACCCCATTTCCTTTTGTGCGTGTGTGCACACGTTGTCTTTTTCCGTTAGAATGTAGGCTTCTTGAGAGTAAAGATTCTTCCTTTCTGCTTCAGTTGGTATTTCCAGGACTTAGTACTGTGCGCAGTACATGCTTGCTAACTTGACTTGCTCCTTTCTTTGTGTCTCAGCTTCATCTCTGAAATGATTGGGGATCTCTAAGCTCCCTTCTTAATCTAGATCCCAAGGGAATTTGGAACCAGGAGACCTGGATTCAAATTCAGACACTATCTCTTAGCATCGGTATAACCTTGCAGAGTTCATAGATTTTAGATCCTGAAAGGATCTCAGAGGGTATGCAATCCAACCTCTTCATTTTACACGGGAGGACACCGAGGCCCAGAGACATGAAGTATCTTGCAGGAGGTCATACAAGTGGCAAAACTAGGATTTGAATCCAGGTTCCCTGACTCCTGATTTCAGGGTGCTTTCTGTTGCAATATGATGTTCCTCTGACCTTTGCCCATGGATAAAATGAGGCAAAGTATGCCTGTACTAGGTAAGCCGGAATGGCAAGATGTCAAGTGGTAAACTTGGAGTTAGGAAGACCTGTGTTTGAATCTGCCACAGACAGCTATAAGGAGCTGGTTGGGTCACTTCTTTGAACCTCAGTTTCCTTATCTGTAAAATGGCGATGATGTTACCTGCGGTTCTCTGAGAGGAAACTGCAGAGCAGGTGAGGGTCTTCATGGGTTAGGGGTGCTCCCCCCTGGTTGTTGCCAACAGGGATGAAAGCACAGGCTCAGTCGTCCACAAGAACAAGGCAGCTCCATCGCAGAACTGGGAGAATCAAGGGAGATGAAGCAGGTGAAGCAGACGAAGCACCAGCCACTCTTGCGGGCTCTCTGTGATTTCCTGCTGCTCCAAATCCCAGGACTTCCCTCCAGGTCATTCATTTAGCAAGCACTGACCAGGCGCTTGATCTGTGCCAGGGACTGTAGCCAGCCATGGAGCTCCAGAGACAGACCCGACGGGCTTTGGTGCCAAGAGCTTCTGTGTGAGTGGGGAGTGGGGGGGAGGGGGAGGAAGAGCCCTAGACAGAGAACCCAGCGTGGGCCCCGCCCCGCCCCGTCCCACCTAGAAGAGCCGGCGCGGGGCGGGGGCGGGCGCTGCAGAGCTCGGGGGCGGGGCGGGGCTAAAGCTGAAGAGCTGGGGGCGGGGGAGGGGCCAAGGCTACGGAGCTGGTGGGGCGGGGGAGGGGCTAAGGCTGCAGAGTACGGGAGGGGGCGGGGCTAATGCTGCAGAGCTCGGGCCGCCCGCGTCCGCCTTTGAGCCCGCGTCCGCCCCTGCGCCTGCGTCCGCCCCTGCGCCTGCGCCCGCCTCTGCGCCTGCGCCTGCAGCCGCGCCTGTGTAGCCCCGGGCGGGAGCCGGTGGGCCCCGGGCCCGGAGGGCCCGCCCCGCCCCGCGGAAGTGGCCGTCCGGTGGATCCAGGCCGGTTCGCGATGCTCCCCCTGAGGCGGCGGCAGCGGCGGAGGCTGCGCTGGGGGCTCGGGGTCCCGGGCGCCGCCGTCCTGCTCGCCTGTGTGGCGGCCTGCGCCCTGGCGGAGCGGGCGTCCGCGGGCCGCGCGTCGGCGCTGAGCGCGCACTTCGGCACCAAGAGCCGCTACGAGGATGTGGCGAGGCCGCGGCCGGGGCCGGGTCCCGCGGGGCCGTGCGCGCCGCTGCAGCTCGTGGCCCTGGTGCGCCACGGCACCCGCTACCCCACGGCCAAGCAGGTGGGCCGCCTGCGGGCGCTGCACGGGCTGCTGCTGCGCGCCGGGCCGCCGGGGCCGGGCCTGGCGGGCGCGCTGGCGCGCTGGCCGCTGGCCTACGAGGACTGGATGGACGGGCAGCTGGTGGACAAGGGCCGGCGCGACATGCGCCGGCTGGCCGCCCGCCTGGCCGCGCGCTTCCCGCTGCTGCTGGGCCGCGCGGGCCTGGCCCGCGTGCGCCTCGTGTCCAGCTCCAAGCCGCGCTGCGTGGACAGCGCCGTGGCCTTCGCGCGGGGCCTCTGGGCGCACCTGCACCCGGGCCTCCCGGAGCCCGAGCCGGCAGGTAGGGCGGCCGCTCCTCCTTCCCTCCCTCCCCCCCCCTCCGCGACCCCGGGGGCGGCCCCGAGGGGCGCGAGCTTCGAGCCCCAGGGTCACGGTCACCCGAGGCGGGGGGCGGGGCGCGGGGCGGGTCCGCGAAGTCCGGAGCTCCCGGGGCGGCCCCTCCCTCCCCCGCCGTGCGAGGCCAGGCCTGGGGCTGTCACTGACCACTGTGTCACTGGCAGATCGCCATCCCCCGCCGGGCCTCGGTGTCTGAACTGAAGCTCGGGTTTGATGAGCTCGGGGGTGCGTGTGCGTGACCCCTCGGGGGCCTCAGTAAGTCTCCAGGACCCCTGGAATCGTATTTTTAAGCGAACAAAACGAAAGGTGTAGGATGACAAAGGATCCGGTCGTAGTAAATACAGTTATTAGCAGGCCCCGTGTAGGGAGCCAGGCGGTATGCAAGTGAGGCCTGGGATCAAGACTTCCATTCGCTTTGTAACCGTGGCTTTTCCCTCATCTGCAAAGTTATGGTAATTCACTGATATGATGCTTTGGTAATAGGCTGCCCGATTCATAAACTTGTTTTGAGAGTTACTCATGTGATCACCTGCATTTTACAGACGAGAAAACCGAGGCTTAGGGAAGATCAGTGGTAGTAATTACAGACTTTGGACCTATGATCTCATCCACCTGGGTCGTCTCCATTTTACGGATGAGGACGCTGAAGCTTAGGAAGTTGATTAGTAGTAGTAATAATAAAGTTCAAATCTATGATCCCGTCCACCTGGGCCTCCATCACACATACATAGCTGACATCCTGTCCACCTTTTTTTATCTTCTCAAATTTTGTCAGTGCCCCAGAAATTCTCCATAGCGGATCTTGGACTTGTGATGAACAGCCTCACTCTGTGATGGGGTCATCCCTTTTTAGCATGACACATTGCCTCGCCACTTCTTATAGGAAGATGCTCTCTGCTTGTATGTTGTGATCATGGCATGGTTATGTAGTCCTCGAGGACGGTTTCACCAAGTACTTCGCCTGGTGAGGGGCCTGACAAGAGTGAAGTGAATAAGTGTGAGAAAGGATATTGGAGGGCTTCCATGGAAGGCTGAAGAGTTTCGTGCTAGTGTTAACATCATTTTACAGATGTAGAAACTGAATCTGAGTGTAAAGTCACCTGTCTCAGGCCACACCATTATTAGGTAGAGGAGCTGGAATGGAAACCCAGGTCTCCTGATTCCCAATTTCAGTGCGTTTATCATTTTACTTGAATCAAATCATTATGTGGCTAATGCTTATACCACCTTCCTCATCTTTCCTGGGTGTATATTAATTCCTACTCCTGACTCTTAAGTATTTTTTTGGTGTTCTCCTAACACTTCAGCAGCTTCTACAGTTCACTTCTTTATCTTATCTGCCACGTTGTACCTTTTTACTAGTTTTATTGGCTCTAAGAAGTCTGAGTGAAGGATGATGTGTCTTATCATGCTGTTTCAATGTTTGATCCTCCACCCTGTAGATTCAGAAACTGCTATTGCCTTGAAAAACTGCAGTTTTCGTGGTTTCAGCTGGTTAGCTCCATGGACTAATGTACTGTGAGGCCAGGGTCATGGGTTCAACCTTCTGTTGCCAAGCCTCATCCTTTCTTCTTCTCTTTTTTACACATCCCTTTCTCCACTCAGCTACCACACTGGTGCCTGCCCTTATCACCCCCTGCAATGACTTTTTAAAAAAAATTCTAAATTAATTAATTAATTTTAGTTTTCAACATTCATTTCCACAAGATTTTGAGTTCCAAATTTTCTCCCCATCTCACCCCTCCCCCACCCCAAGACAGCATGTATTCTGAATACCCCTTCCCCTAATCTGCCTCCCCTCAATCATCACCCCCTTCTCTTATCTCCTTTCCCTTCTGTCTTCTGGTAGAGCAGGATAGATTTCTGTACCCCACTGCAATGACTTTCTGATTGGTCTCTGCCTCAGTGGTTTCCCTCTGTGCTCCATTATCCACTTAGCTGTCAGAGTGATCTTCCTAAACTTCAGGTCTCACCATATCACCCTACTGCTCAATACATTTCAGTGACTCTCTGTTACTTCCAGGGTTAAATATAAAATCCTCTGGCCTTTAAAGCTTTCACAACCTGACTTTCCTACTTTTCTCCTCATACCTCTTCCCATTTTCCACTCCCACTCCCACCCCCCACGCCCATTCTGTGATCCAGTGACCCTGGCCGCCTTGTTCCTCACACAAGACACTCCATCCCTCAGCTCCAGGCATTTTCGATGGCTGTCTCCCCTCCGTGGAACTCCCTTATTGCCACCTCCTGGCTTCCTTTAAGACTCACGAAAGGTCCCCACCCTCTGCAAGAAGCCTTACCCAATCTTAGTGCCATCCCTCTGTTGATTATCTCCAGTTTGTACAGTTATCTCTCTTGGGTGGACACACTTGTTTGCATGTTGTCTCTCCAGTTAAACTGAGCCCTGAATGTTTTTGGCCTTTCTTTATAACTGGTGTTTAGCACAGTGCTTGGCAGTAACTTTGGGCAGGCAGTTTCAGTTGAATGATAAGGTTGGAAGCCAGACTGCTGAGAGCTAAGAAAGTAAGAGGAAAAGTTGTGGAGGCACTGAAGGCCTTCTCCAGGAGTTATGGAGAGGAGAGGAGGTAGAAGGAGGCAGTGGTCAGATCCAGAGGCTTTTATGAAGTTGGAGAAGCCTCAGACGTGTTTGTCGGTTGCAGGGAAGCAGCCAATAGATAGGGAGACATTGCTGTTTTGTGGGGGAACGATAGAAGGCAGGATGGGATAGGATCAAGGAGGCATGGAGAGGGATTTTCCTTGGCAAGGAGAAGGGACAAAGAGTGAGTTGTCATCCAATGGTCTCAGGTTATTTTGGTGAAGTTATAAGGCCCTCTGCTGAGGGGGTGGGGCAGGCACGGGAGACGGGAGGAGAGATGGCAAGGTTTGGTGGGGAATGGGATAGTGCTGCTTCAAAGGCCCAGGTCAGACAGTTTTGTGATTTTCTCCAGCATGTGACTAGGAGGAAAGGTGGAGGATGTGGGAAGACCGGGAGTCACCTAAGGTGAAATCTGAAATAACTGAGGAAACAACGGTTTGAGCTTCTGAGCATATCAGTTTATTGCAATGCATGCCAATTGCCAAACAAATTGGGACCGGGCCTCCTCAGCTTGGCACTGGACACCAAATACAGGGGAAGACAGGATACAAGATTAGGTCATCTGATTTCTAATTGGAGGAAAGATTAGGCACTCTACAGGTAGGGAAGAGGAGATCAAACAGGTGCAATTCCCTAAAAAAGAGGTATTCCGAGCCCCCCAGGTGTCTGTGAACAGTCAAAGGAACATGAAAACAGTAACTGATTGACTAGTACAGGCAGGTTTTCAGATAAGACGTAGGGATTGCTTGAGATGTACAATTGTTAGAAAACTCATTACAACAGTCTTTGGATCTGACCACCTTTCTAACCATGCAGGGCTGAGTTCAAACGATGCAATAAAGTTTTCTCACAAGACAGAAGTTGGACTAGACCCATAATTGAATAGACAGGGAACTGAGCTAGTTCCAGAGTTGAGTCCCAAGATGGAGTCAGTTGGCTCGTTGGATTTCCACAGAAAAGAGTTTGACAAGGCAGCAGGGCAAGGAGGGCAGGGACTCAAGTAACTAAACTTACTCTTTTTGCTTATCTTTATATCATTGGAGCTTAGCACAGTGCCTGGAACATAAAAAGCATTTATTAATCGACAGTCTCTAGGAGTTAATTTGCTATCTGTAGAGTGAGAGTGCTGTACTTGATGGCTTCTAAGGCACCTTCTAGCGCTAAATCCATAATGCTTTGGACCCATGATCCACCCACTAGTCTTCCTTTTGCCCACCCTTTCCTGGCCCCCATTCCCCTAGAGGCTCTTTCAGAGCATTTTTGTACCTGTACCTTGTAAGTGCTTTAAGGTACTTTTTCTTTCATTTATTTATACTACTAAAGTTTCAGTATAATTTTCATGGGAAATCACATCTTGTGAACATAGAAAAAGAAAGCTTTTTTTTTTCCAGATTTCTTTAAAAAAAATTTTCCAGTTACATGTAAAAACAATTTTTTTTCTTTCTTTCTTTTTTCCTTTTTTTGCTAAGGTGATCAGGGTTAAGTGACTTGCCCAGGATCACACAGTAAGTGTTAAGTGTCTGAGGCTGCATTTGAACTCAGGTCCTCTTGATTCCATGGCCAGAGCTCTATTCACTGCGCCACCTAGCTGCCCCAAAAACAATTTTTAACATTCATTTTTAAAAATTTTGAGTTTCAGGTTCTCTCGAATCTTCCCCTCCCCTCTCACTCAGAAGGCAAGAAATTTGATAAAGGTTATACATGTGCAGTCATGTAAAACATATTGCCATATTACTGATGTTGCAAAAGAAAACAGATAGAAAAAATAGCAAGAAAAATAAGGTGAAAACAAAACAAAGCAAAGTGCTTCAATCTGTATTTACATTTCATCAGTTATTTCTCTGGAGGTGGATAGCATTTTTCATCACAGGCCCTTCAGAATTGTCTTGGATCTTTGTATAGCTGATAATAGCTAAGTCATTCCCAATTGATTATCATACAGTATTGCTGTTACCATGTACAGTGTTCTCCTGGTTCTGCTTACTTCACTTTGCATCAGTTCATGAAAGTCTTTTCTGTTTTCACGAGCATCCTGCTCATCATTTCTTGTTTTGTTTTTTGTTTTTATTTTGGTTTTTTTTTTTAGGCAATTGGGATTAAGTGACTTGCCCAGGGTCACACAACTAGTAAGTGTCAAGTGTTTGGTCTGAGGCTGGATTTGAGCTCAGGTCCTCCTGACTTCAGGGCCAGGTGCTCTATCCACTGCGCCACCTAGCTGCCCCTCCTGCTCATCATTTCTTATAGCACAATGGTATTCCATCACAATCAATATACCACAACTTTTTTAGTGATTCCCCAATTGATGGGCATCCTTTCAATTTTCAATTCTTTGCTACCACAAAAAGAGCTGCTGTAAATACCCTTGTACAAGTAGGTCCTTTTCTTTCTTTTTTTCTAAAATCTCTTTGGGGTACAGACTTATTAGTGGTATTGCTGGGTCAAAGGGTTTTATACACTTTTGGGCATAGTTCCAAGTTGTTCTCTAGAATGGTTGAATCAATTCACAACTCTACCAACAGTGCATTAGTGTCCCAATTTTCCCATATCCCCTCCAACATTTATCATTTCCCATTTCTGTCATATTAGTCAATCTGATTGGTGTGAAATGGTACCTCAGAGTTGTTTTTATTTGCGTTTCTTTAATCAGTAGTGATACAGAGCATTTTTTCATATGACTATAGGTAGTTTTGATTTCTTCATCTGAAAACTGCTATCCTTTGACCATTTTTCAATTGGGGAATGACTTGTATTCTTATAAGTTTGACTCATTTCTCTATATATTTGAGAAATGAGACCTTTATCAGAGAAACTTGCCATAAAAAATTTCCCCCAGTCTTCTGCTTTCCTTCTAATCTTGATTGCATTGGTTTTGTTTGTACAAAGCCTTTGTAATTTAATGTAATCAAAATTATCCATTTTACACCCTGTGATGCTATCTCTCTTTTGGTCATAAATGCTTCCCTTATTTATAGATCTGACAGGTCAACTATTCCATGATCCCCTAGTTTGTTTATGGTATCACCTTTATGTCTAAAGCTTGTATCCATTTTGACCTTATCCTGGTGGATGGTGTGTGTGAGATGTTGGTCTGTACCTAGTTTCTGCCATAATATCTTCCAGTTTTCCTAGCAGTTGTCAGATATTGAGTTCTTGTCCCAAAAGCTTTGATCTATGGGTTTATCAAACACTATTTTACTATGGCCATTGGGTACCTAATCTAGTCCACTTATCTTTCACTTTATTTCTTAGCCAGGACCAGATTGTTTTGGTGATTACCCCTTTATGATACATTTTGAGATTTGGATGGCTAGTCCATCTTTTTTTCCCCCCTTAACCTTGATAGAAAAAGAAATCATCTTAAGGAAAACTTTGTTATCTTTATTGAAAGAAATCTGTTATTTCTTGAGAACTGCTCAGCATCCTCGTGGCAATTAAAGGTTTGAGATCTTTCCTTGTTGCCAGAAATGAAGATAATGTTAATTTTCGCTGGATTGGACTAATGTTTTTATATCATCTTCATCTTTGAGGCTATCAGTAATAGCCAGTCACTGCCTTAGAATTCCTGGCAACTGTGAAAAGTGGATCATATCTGGTGATGGTGCCCCATCTGGAGTGCCACACTAGAACAGCAGGCCCTGCCCTGCTCAGATAGCCTGTCATACTCTTCAGTACCTCATCTCTATGCCATACTGAGACACCGTGATAAGATTTGTATGGGACTATCTGTCCCGTGAAAGAGAGCACATCTTATGGGATCTCAGTGCACTCCAGAAAAACTACACTTTTTTCTCTCTTTTGTACCAGATGAATAAATAAATCACAGTGATTACGAATGGAGGGACAGTTAAGTTTCTGAGCCTTCTTAAATTCTACTATCATCAGTGAATACTTAATATAGGTACTCAAATCAATAAGCTATTGGCTTTTACTGTCTACAGTGAAACTAAATATTATTTGACTGATGCTTCCCAAATTATTATTTCAACTGTCAGTACCTTGCTGTAAGACTTGTCTTTTTTATTTTCTCTTTCAGATATGGAGTTTGGGCCACCTGAGATAAATGATAAACTTATGAGGTTTTTTGATCATTGTGAAAAGTTCCTAACTGAGGTTGAAAAGAATGATTCAGCTCTTTATCAGGTAGAAGCCTTCAAAAATGGACCAGAAATGCAGAAAATTATTAAAAAAGTTGCAGCTATTTTGCAGGTGCCACCAAGTGATTTAAATGCAGGTAAGGTACCTTTTTATATTTATTTGTATTTTAAATAGCAAATAATGTTACTTTCTTGCAATGAGCAAGGAAGCCTGCAGTGCTAATCCTATTTTTTTCATTCATTCATGAATAGTAGGGCCATCGTTGATGGGGGGAGGGTTTATGGGGTTTATGCTAAGTTCACAGGTGAGTTCCAGATAAAATGCTACGAGAAAAATTAGGAGGGAGAGATGGACTTTCAGCCAAGGGAATGTGGGAAGGATGCCTGTAGGAAAGATTGCACTAGTTAGACGTGGGGTGGGTGGTCCATGCCAGGCATGGAAGATGGCAGGAGCCCGTGAAGGCAGGCCAGAAAAGTTGACTGTTTAAAAGGTGTTTATATTGTAATTGGCAGTGAGAAGTCACCACAGGTTGTAGAGTAGAGAAATATTCTGATCAGAGTGGTAGAGGCCAGAGGAATCCACTGTTGGCCCAGTTTGTTTGAGATGCCAGTGGGACAGCCTGTCTGACTGTAGCTGTAGCAGGAGACAGATTTGGGTGTAGGTGATAGTTCAGTCCACATGAGTAGATGAGGTCTCCAAGAGAGAAAGCACGGGGGACCTGGGGTAGGTACAGAGCCTCGAAGGGGGTAGAGGAGAGAGGAGCCCGCAAAGGTGTAGAAATGGGTCACAGAGTGAGGACTCCAGGAAGGAAGGAAATGGAGAGGATCAAAGAAAGGGCAGCAGTCAGCACGGTCTGCCGCTTCAGAAAAGACAAGGAGGGTGAGAGCCAGCCCGAAAGGTCGTTGGATTTGAGCTTAGCATAGGTCGCCTGCACGGCTGCTTTGGGAAGAAATAGAGGAGAGTCGAGTTGGACTGTTTGCTGAAGTTTGCCTCTTAGGGCTTTTCTGGCGTAATCCTAGAGTCCTGGAAAGTAACATGAGGAAACTGGTGTTCTCTCTGAGGTGCAAATGAATTCCCAACTACAAACGATTGCTTGGCAGTCAGTGTAATTATTCTTATCTAATTTGGAATTTGTTACAAGGATGAAATTTTAGGTTTGCTAAGCAAAGGGTACAAAAAAAAAAAGCAGGAGGGATCTCTTTGCCCTTAAGAAAATAAAATATTTGGCAGTCACCTTGATGAGGCACTCATGTGCACATCAGTGATATGATTCTTACTGAGCAGTTCAGTAAAGGGATTTCGGAGGGCCTAGTACCCCTCTTGTTAGCTGCTGCTTGCTTCCTGTGCTCAGAATGTCCTGGAGTTGTGCATGCCGTCTTTCCAATGCCGTCCTTCCTCACCACCAGCACCCCTGGTTCCCAGAACTCCCTCTCCTCGCTCCTAATCCTCTCGCCCCTTCCCTTCCATTAAATTTTGCACTCTTCTAAGACCTCACAGGAATCAGTTCTGAGGTTGGTGGTCTTTCAGTGCGTGAGCTGTTATTATTTATTACTCGTACTCCTACGCAATGTTACCCAGCCCGGATGTTTCGGAGGCAGGACGTGAATCCGTATCTCTCTGACCTCCAGGCAGCTTTCTGTCTGCTACCCCAGACTGGCTGTGTGACACTGGACGGTCATCCTCTTAGTGCCTCAGGCTGCTCTCTGAGGGTATAAATTGCACAGTGGGTGCCTGCCAGCCCTAGTCCTGGGGATCTCTTCACTGGAATTTCTCTGTACTGACAAAATCATCACAATGGTCAAAATGCAAAACCCAAACCCGAAGCACTGTTATTTATTATATGGTCTCATTGGAGTGGGGAATCCCTCTAGTAATGGGAGTGATAGTTATGACAGCCCTCCATTAAAAGTCATGCTTCAGAGCCTCCCTCATTGTGGTACAGCAGCCTGGAAGTCTCAAAGCCTGTGCTAGGACCACCCCTGCAAGGCCTCCCCAGTTTGAGAAGCACAAATAGCATCCCCAGGACAGTCTATGGACAGTCCAACTAAGCTGGGTCATCAAAAGAGGAGCTCTTTTGGCCACAGCAGCTGGTGAAGTCGAGCTGAGAGGCACGATGCTCTCTGGCCTAGAAACAGCATTTCAAATACAGAAGGGCAACATCCGCTAATTCCCTGCTGTGTGTAGCGTTGGCAGAGCCCTGTTGTCTACATCAGGGCTTACGACCACTCAGCCTGCAGCACTCCTGAATTGGGTCTGAGTGGGATTGAGAAATGTTTAATGAAATAAGTAGTAATGCAATTGTCAACACAGACGATGTTAATGTGTGATTTCCTAAGAAAACAGGGGCCCACAGATTGGATCCTTATTTATGTATCCCTCTGTTTCTATTTGAGCTGGACACTGCCAGTACACATGCTATTCTTGAGCTCCCCCTTTCCAGAAAGGAGCACTCTTTGCCCTCTCAGAACAGGGAGACACCATCCCTCTCCCCTCTACAGCCCTCTGAAATTTTTTTCAAACTTTAACTGTTGTTTAGGAATTGAAATATGGCAAATATGTTGAAAGTACAATATCTTTATTGAAGAGACTGACTGCTATATGGGGAAGAGCTTCTTACACAGAATTTTTCCTTTAAAAATCATAGCAAAGCAGCATTAATTTTAACTGTGACCTTGTAAATGGAGAGAGCTTTTTTTTTTCTTTTTGGTGAGGCAATAGGGGTTAAATGACTTGCCCAGAGTCACACAGCTATTGAGTGTTATGCGTCTGAGGTTGGATTTGAATTCTGATCCTCCTGACTCCAGGACCAGTGCTCTATTCACTGCTCCACCTAGCTGCCCATGAGAGATCTTTATTACATAGAACTCTAGGTTATCGTTATGTTCTTTAAATGGAATTCTACCTGGCTATATAAGGAGCCCATTGTAAATATAAAAATGGGCATCTTTTTGAGAGAAAGAATCATTGTTAATTGTAAAAAGAGCATTTGCAAGAGCTGACACATCTGTAAACTGCTGGAAAGTTTATTAAGTGCTTTGATGACGTTCCGTCCCTTGAGGTTGAATTTAATCCAGTACCAACTGTATGAATAAAAACCTTTATTGTATGAAGAAATACTGGTGATGATTCTACATCTTCACTTGTTGTAAAATTTTAGAACTAGAATCATTCTTAGAAATGATAGAGGGAATTGGTTCCGTTTGGTTTAGTCCTTAAGTGAAGAGGATTTGGTAAATAGGAGTGAAATGAAGCTCCGGTTAGGGTGTAATAAATGCATATCTACTTTAGGTCTTCCCAGAATCCATTTAGAAATGAGGAACCTGAAGTCCAGAAATGTTGCAGTTTGCTCCGAGAGTAGGTTCCAGATACAGTGGCATTTCACCATAATTCTTAATAGCATAGATGTGTATATGTTGGGACTTAGATTTTACTTTTCCAGAATATAAGCACATGTAATAAAAACCTCATATAGCACAATCTGTTATTAACTTGAGTGCTGCTCTTTTTCCTCCTAAACTATATATTACACACATATTGTACTAAACAAGTTGTCAGTAGATCAACAAGTTAGAAACAAACCAAAAAAAGCCAGAAAAGGGTGCAAATCTTCAATATTATAACTTCCTTAGTAACCGAATACTAAGTAATTGAATTTTTCTTATGTTCATTCCTGATGACTGTTGCATCATTTTCTTAATCACCCTTGCTCCTCACCTTGGTAGATTTATTGGATTCCTTCTTCTCCCTTCATCCTTCCTACTTCTACCTTTGAGGACTGGCAGATCCATTTTTGAAATATCTATTTTTGCAGATACCATCTTGATTCAAGTTCTCACCTAAACTTGACCTGTTGTAATAGCCTCTTAGCTGGTCTCCCCACTTTCTCTTCCCCCCTCCACCCGTATATGTGTATGTATATATAATTATAATTAAAAACAAAAAACCTAAATATTAGCCAAATTAAGCTGGGTGTGTTCTTGTTTTTAGCCTTGAATTTGACCTTAATATAACTTTTCACTTTTTATTGACCCCTGGTAGAAAAAGAAAGTCTTGCTTTAGTGCAGCTCACAGAATCATAGAATTTCAGAACTGGAAGGAAAGGACCCTTAGTGACCGAATCCCACCCTTTTATTTTACAAAGGACTATTGACCTTCTGCTATTTTTTTTAATAGCTGAAATCAAAACTTGGAACTTTTTGCTTTCTTTCACCAGATTTAATCCAAGTTGCCTTTTTTTCCTGCTCATTTGACTTGGCTATTAGAGACATTCAGTCCCCTTGGTGCGATGTCTTTGACACAGAGGATGCTCAGGTAAGTGCTAAGTGCAGTTGTGTTAACTGCTCAGCATTTAATTAGGCACAGCTTCTAAAATGAGAGACATTGTGGGAAAAGCGTGACTTGGTACTGGCAAACTTGGAACTCAGGGTCCTGGTAAAGAGAACTATGTGTTTCTGTTTCTTTTCCATGAAGGATTGAATGGGTCTCCTAAATAGTGATTAGAATGAAAGTAATATGTGACTTAACTCTTGACAATTGGATAAATTAATTATTAAATAAAACTTTGAGTTCATTTTTTTAAATTAATAGTAACCTATTTTCTTTTTCATCTCTCCATTGAAGAAAATAAAACCCCTTGCAACTAATATGCATAGTCAGGCAAAACATAACCCATTTGCCGTGTCCCCAAAATGTGTCACATTCTACAGTGAAACTTCACCTTGGTATTAGGTGGTGAGCAGCAGCCCTCATCGTCTTGGTCATTATGTTGATCAGTATTCTTAAGTCTCTCCAAGTTTTTTTATCTTCACAGTGTTGTTATTGTATAAATTGTGCTCCTCATCTTTTTCTGCATTAGTTCATCTAAGTCTTCCCAGGTTATTCTGAAACTGCCTCTTTCATCATTTCTTATGGCACAAGAGTATTCCGTTACACTCATGTACCATGATTTGTTCAGCCGTTCCCCAGTTGATGGACAAACAAACACCCCTTCCCCCTCCTCCTTAGTTACCACCACAAAAAGAGCTAGTATAAATATGTTTGTGTATGTGGATTCTTTTCCTTTGTTCATATGTAAAATGGTTATTTGGGACTCAAAACATAGTTTCCCACAGAAACAATGTATAAGAAAGGGATGTGTGGTTTTTCAAGGCTGCTCATGAAAGCCCATGTAGCCTATAGCGTAACTTTACTGGTTCGCCACCAGATGGCGGATTTTTGGCCACAGCATTCCATGAAGGTAGTCTGTTAGGGGTTTTGGGGGATTTTGGTTTCTGTGAGTAGCAGGGAGCCTTGAAATATTAAAAGCAAATGTAGCTGTATTGCGTTAAGAGACTGTAGAAGTGAGAGGCAGCGTGGGGGAGTGGACAGAGCTGGCCAGGGAGCCAGGGAGACCTGAGGTGAGGAGGTGCAGAGGATCTGCTCACCTGCATCAGTGGAGGAGTTTACTCATTCAGAAGAATCTTGTACTGATGAAATCACAGGTTCCTCCTCAAGGAAAAATATTTTGCATTTAGATCTTAGCTACGGATAGAACAGCTTCTAATGGCAAGTCACACCTGCCTCAGGTAGGAAGAGAAGTCACTGGCACAGAAGGGAGATGAGCAGGGCCAAACCAGAAGCAGCAACCAGTATATGGATAGTTTTCTAATGCAAAATTAATAGATATTTCTGACATTCCCTACTTTCCCGTGCTAGTGATGTCTAGAAGTGTGTTTTTTGTTGTGCTGGTTTCTGTCAGTCTGGCTTTGCAAATGGTTGTTATCTCTCTGTGTACACCAGGGTGTGCCAGAGATGATTGAAGAGCGCTAAAGTATTCTCCTGGGTCGGCCAACCTGATTTACTGGGGAGTTTCAGGATGGGACGTGCTACACATTGGATTTTGCTAAATTTTGGATCTCAAATTGGATGGGCACGGTTTAGTGGTAGTTACTTTTAATATTGTTTCGATCCTAAGTCCAGTTTGATTCCAGAACTGTAAATCATGTGATCTGTCATTGTTCTCCTTAAAGAACATGGTTGGCAGTCAGGCCTCAGGTGATGCAGATCCGAGCTGCCCCTTACCAGGAGGGTCTTGAGAAGAGCCTGGACCCCCCCTTGGGAGGCAGCAGCTCCTGTCCTCAGCACGCCTCTGCAGCTTAGCCATGTTACATGGATGTGCCGCTCAGGAGCCTGCCAGTGGCTGTTCTGTGAGGGGGCTGAGTTACTGTGACCTTGAAAAATAGCACAGAGCTTGTGAAAGTGTACATTTCCAGGTGCTGGAATACCTGAATGACCTGAAGCAGTATTGGAAAAGGGGGCACGGCTACGCGATCAACAGTCGCTCCAGCTGCAGCCTGTTCCAGGACATATTTCATCATTTGGACGAAGCTGTTGAACAGAGACAAAGGTAAGTCCATTTGAAAGACAGGGAATGCTTCAGTAATTGTCAGTCTTACTCTGGCCCTATGATGAGATTATTTTGTTTCATGTTTGGAATTTTTTTTTTGAGGTGCCCATCACAACAAGTCTTAACCATGTGCATTTGTGACCTCTTATTTTAAATTTAGATACCTTTGAACTTTCTTAGGTAATCTTCTGGGATCAGTGTAAATGAAATGCGTGCTCCTCCCCTAAGGGTTATTAGGTGGTCACATACTAACAGCAGTGGGGAGCACGTTCAGACTGCGAAGCCAGAGGGACAGAGACAGAGATAGAGACAGAGAGAGACAGAGTCAGACACAGAGAGAGAGAGAGAGAGAGAGACAGATGGCAGAGCTGGGGGGAGAAGGAGAGGAAGGGAGGGAGAGACAGAGAGAAAGACAGCACAGACATGAGAGACCCCAGACTCACAGGCCTAGAGCTGGGAGGGACTCCAAGAGGTCATCGGGTCCTAGAGACATTAAATGATGTGGCCCAAGATCACACAGAGAGCGAGTGGCCAAGGAGGAATTCAGTTCTGGGGCCTCTGACTCATTTCTTCCTTTCTTTTAAAATTATTATTATTTGCTTTTTGGTGAGGCAGTTGGGGTTAAGTGACTTGCCCAGGGTCACACAGCTAGTAAGTGTCATGTGTCTGAGACTGGATTTGAACTCCAAGGCCGGAGCTCTACCCACTGTGCCACCTAGCTGTCCCCTTTTAAGATTATTTTTAAAGAACCTCTGGCCTTGTCGATACAGGGAAAAAACACATTTCCCTGTCTCCTCCCTGTTATGTTTTTAGATAACAACCTTCTGCTAAGCAGACTGAAGATTTTACAGATAAAGTAATATGGCTTGACTTTGGTGGATGAGGGTCCCTGCTCTTTTGTCGCCTTCTTAGGAGGGGCCTTGAAATGGGTGAAAAAGTCTCTCCTTGCCATTTTCCTCCCTGTACCACTGTGTCCAGCTGTGTCTTGTGCTGGTGGCCGAGGTCCTTCCTGTCTCTGCCTTCAAATTGACTTCTTTGCCCTTCCTGTACTGGTGCCCGCTCTTCAGGCCCAGCTTCGACCTCAGGGTTCTTTGTTGTTTGACGGGGGATTGACTAATTGAATCCAGACTATGTGTAATCAGGATTTGGCACAAAAACTCTATCTGTTAGTGACCTAGAACTGAAGCCTTGTATCTTTGAGCAGTGAGTAAATAAATACGGCCTCATCAGATTACTCAGAGAATAGTCTGTGAGCCCTTGATTTTTTTGTGTAGTTTGTTGAAATAAAGATAAGAGTAACCCAAATTGAAGTTGTATAGTGAAGTTAGGGGAATGAAATCCTATTAGCACATTTTGTAAGCTAAGTTTTTTATGTGGATAATGGCTTAAAATCTAAGATGATGTGTTTCATCATTGATATTTAAAAATGTATAAAATACATACGTACATGTAAAATTAAAAGAAACTTTTTAGTTCAACAGGAATGCTCCTTGGAAAAATATTTTAAATTGTTAGACATGCCATAACACCATAGTTAGCCTGCCTGGGTCTCAGTTTCATCACCTGTAAAATGTAAGTCCCTTCCAGGTCCAAGCCTGTTGTCCTATTATTTAGCTCTGGATTGGACTTTATGAGGTGTCCATTGTGTCTGGTGCGTAGTAGGGGCTTTAAAAATAGTTATCGATTGACTGGCTGACAGATTTCATCGGTCTAGGTAGCTCCTCTGTCAGTGCAGGTCAGGGACTACTGTATTCTATAATTTAGAATTTTAGGTGGGTGGCCTAGGGGTCCTGAGAGCTTTTAGGACCTTCCCCAAGTCTTGTAGCCCATCTCTGTGTCAGAGAGAGCTTGAGAAGGCACTCCTATTAAGGAGGATTGGGAAAGTGGGATTTTATCTGAGACGTGGAAGAAGCCAGAGGCAGCTCCTGTTCCATGGAAGAGTATAATCCTGGGGCAGCCTCCAGGCTCTTCTCCTCCATGCCTCTCCTTTTACAGATGAGGACACGCAGTCCCAGAAAGCCAGGTTTACCTAAGGTCACACAGAGAGCCAGGATTTGAATTCAGCTCATCTGACTCCAAACCCAGCGCTCTTTTGCACTGTGCTAAGGTGACAAGTGATTTTTTTTTCTGTCTGCTAAGAGCTATAGCAATAAGAAAAGCCTGCCTCCATTGTCACTTGTAATATGTTTGATTTGTAAAGATTATAAGCCGCTAAGATGCAAGAAAAAAGGATTAGGATGAGTGAGTGGGGAGATGTGATGAACAGTAAGGTTCAGAACAGCTGTTTTTCATTATAGAATTTATTATTTAATAGGGCAAGAGGTTTGATTCAGGTGCATAAGAGGTAACTTTGGAACACGGAGTGCCTGAGAATGAGGCCCTTCAGGGTGGACGCTAGATGCAGTTGGTATGGAACAGTGCAGGGGCTTGACCCCTTCGGGGGATAGAATGGTGCTAGTGATGAAGGGACTGATCATTCAGTTTGCAAACATTTATTCGAGCTCCAGGAATTGGGAAAGGATTGAGGGGGGTAAGGGGGTGGTTGGGTAGGGAGGTTGTCAGCAAAGGCACATTTTGGCTGCTCAGAGATTTTGGCCTGAGCTTTCCTCCTCTGCACTGACAGTGAAAATGGGGACTGCAAGAGGAATCAGCTGTGATGACGTGTCCAAGGCGGACTGGAAAACAGGCCGGATCCTTCTTGGGGGGGATGGTGGCAGGGGAACACTGCCTTCTTGCCTGTCGGTTTGCACATGACCAGCTTACAGGCTCTGGAGTCACCTGATGTGGTGAGACCTGGGAGGGTTAGGAGTGTTCTTAGTCAAATTTTTAATGATCTAGTTGAGAGTTTCTGTACCACTGCCTTAAAATAAAGAGTGATGAAATAATCTTCTCCTGTGGAAGTTGTGGTAAGATTTTAGGTCTGAGATTTCACAGTTTATACCCCAAACCACATTCTAGGGCACAGTTTTATTTAAGGAAATGGTTTCTACCACACTTAAGTGGCGTAGGCTGTATGGTGACCACCCCATGAAGTCAACAGAACCAGAAAACCAATTTACATTGTGACATCAATATCCTAAAATGAACAGTTTTGAGGACTTTATATTATAACCTAATGAAGGACGAAATGAGCAGAACCAGGAGAATAGTTTATGCGGTAACAACAGTACTGGGAAAACAAGAAAGCTTAAAAGCTGTAACAGAGGTATAAAAATCACTATACTGACCACGATTCCACCAGACTGTTATCCATGACAGAGAGGGTGCTGGCTTTAGGGTGCAGGAGGAGACAGATAGTTTTGGATACCATCGGTATGGGAGGGGAATTACTTACTCTGGGCCTGGTGCTGTGCTAGTGCTTTACAGATACCTCTTTTTATCCTTACAACAATCCTGGGAGGTAGGTGCTAGTATTATTCTCATTTTACAGATGAGGAAACTGAGGCAGACAGGTTACCAGGATCATATGGCTAGTAAGTATCTGAGGCTGGTTTGAACTTGGGTCTTCCTGGCTCCAGGCCTGGTGCTTTGGGCACTGTGACGTCCCCAGCTGCCAGATTTGTTTTGCTTGGCTCTGTGTATTTTTTCCAAGAAAATATTTTTCTTTTCTTTTTGGTGTGGTGAGGGGTGAAAGGGAGAGAAAATAGATTCTGCTAATTAACAAAATAGAGAGGAGAGGCTGGTGTCGTAGAATGTTGCTGCACTTCAGATGAGGTGATTGTTAGTTTTACTTAACTCTTTCACTTTGTTTCAAGAGACCTCAGAAAGTGACAGTGATCTTTCTATGTTTGTATGGTACAAACACATCGGTAAACTTGAAGAAAGAAAAAAATGCTTTCAAACCATGAGTGCATTGAGAATCCAGGGAAAGGTGGACTTAAATGTAAAGAGCATATCTGTTGTAGGAATAACTCCCTTTGCGGGGTCCTCTATCAAAGGAGACAACATGTTGAGCACTTCGCAAACCTTAAACTGCTACGTAAATGCTGCTATTATTATTGTTATTACTGTGACCCTTGTGAAGGTCCCCTTAGGCCTGGTATCACCTTCTGCTCCCCCATGGCAAGCCTAGAATCTTCCACCCTTTGGGAGGTCACATGGCCTCCTGGGGGAGGGGGAGGGAGACCTTTCCCCCCAGGCACTTGGCCGCCTGTGCTCGCTCCTCCAGGCACATGTAGTCTGAATCCAGACAGGGTTGCTGTTTTATCTCAGCTCCACCAAAGCCATTATCCTGAAATTTCGAGCTGTGAGAGCCGAAGGAAGGTTGGGCGGCCTGGCTTGCAGGGACTAGTCCCGTTGTATCTCCAAAGATAGCCTTTAGCCTGGAAAGCTGAAGAGCCTGATGGGGTGGACATAAGTGTCTGTGATTGCTGGGGCAGCCATGTCCACTTGGAGCTGATCCTTTCAGTTACTCAGGCCATGCCCTGGAAACAGCTTCGTTTTTCCTTGTATTACGTAGTTGATGTGTACTTAGCTGTGTTCTGCTCACACCATTTCTGCTCACATTTCTCATTAGAGATGACTTACATAGGAGAATGCAGCTGAAGGATGGACTAAAAAGGCCCACTGAGTTCTGAGAAGGTTGCAGCAGTCAGATGGCAATGCCGGGGTCTGGAGGGCAGAGTGCCAGGCAGATGTGAGGCCTGTGGGATGAGCGTCCAAGCCGTGGGAGTGGTCCCGAGGTTGGAGGGAAGCAGAACCTCAGGGTAGGGGCAAGCAAGCATCATCAGGAGAATCAGCAGGGAAGGAGCGCCATGGCTTGGGCTTCCTCATCTGTTGTGAGAATCAGCCGTGGAAAGCATGACTCCTGCATTCCCAGGGTCTGACACTACTGTGCTCACTGCACTTCTTGGTCCTCCGTGTCCTCCTCTCTCATGAGTGTGTGGGAGGCCCCTTCCAGCTTGAGCAGGTGCTCTGTGAATGCCAGTTACTGGGGGGGCGGGGTACGTAGCAGAGGCAGTGGGCTGTAGCAGATCTTGGGGCCAACCTTGGAGTCAGGAAGGTGTGACTCAGCAGGTAGAAAAGCTGGACGCTACACTTCCACCTGTTGATGTGTGCCAAGACCATTCTTAATTTTATAGAGGTAGAATGCTTGGAATGGCCAAGGAATATGGACGTTATTCTGTAGGGAATAAAATATTACTTGATATCTTGCTTTTACATCACCTTCATTTCCAAATATACCTTTATCTTCTCCACCACTCTGCAAGGTGTTTTTGTAACAGAGCATGAGAAAGGAGGGTGTATGCAGGATACCGCATCCCTCGGGGCATGCCCCCTTTGCTTTGCCTCTCTGAACTCTTCAGTCACTGCCTTCTTAGGTTGCAGTAATGTTCCACTGCTCTCATACCCTAACTTGCTTAGCCTTCTTCCAGACAGTGGGCATCTACTTTGCTTCTAGTCCTTGGCTATCAGATGGAGCTTCCACAAGCCTTTTGGTGTATTATGGGACTTTGTGTCTGATCTCCTTGAGGAGCATGCTTTACAGGGATGTTTCTGGGTCACAGGGACTCAAGGAACTTTGGAAGGGTTTGGAACAGAAGCAGTGTTGGTGTGTATATGTTTCAGTAGTATCTGGTTTCTACTCAGTTTTCTTTTTATTCAGTTGTGAAGAGTTCGAGTAGTCTGCAGACTCGTGGGTTTTTCCCTTTCTTGGTCCCTAGCCATATTTCCCGATGTTTTCTCCATCTTGCTTTTATTCCCATGTCTGTGTTGGAGTGACTGAGTATCAAGATACATATTGACTTATTTGGAGGATCATGTCAAACACAGAATGAACCAAGGCTGGTGAGGAAAATGTTGTTCTGGCAATACAGTTACAAAGAATGAAACAGTCTCTACTTACATTGAGCTTACATTCTAATGGGGAGACAACATAAATATAAACTTAATATATACACAAAGTAGTTAAAATACAAGGTAGTTTGGAGGGGGCAGCATTAGCACTTGGCATATCTGGAAAGGTTTCAAGCTACTTTTGGAAGGAAGAGAGGAACTCTGAGGGTGACCAAGGAGGGAGGGCACTCTGGGCCTAGACAAGAGCCAGTGCAAAGACAGGGAATTTGGACTAGAAAGTCTAGAACAGTGATGGTCAAGAGGGGGAGCTGAAACTGAAAATTGTGGTGGTTTGTCCTTTGTTCTCTAAGAGGACCATGACGTCAGGGAGATGATAACGAGACTTGCAATTGACTTTGATTTGAGTGAGGGAGGGCTGTGCAAGGTCACCAGCCTCACTTTCTCCTCCAGAACCATCTGGGTCCTATGGCCAGATATTGATCAGGACAACTGGAGATGGCCCAGGATACAGTGACAAACCTTGGCCTTTTTAAGCTGAGGTCTTTTCAGGTTCTCACTTTGAGTGAGGCAATGCCCAGTCAGTGAATAGGCCTCTTTAAGAAGTGAGTCAAGGGATGGTCTTTTTAATTAAAAAAAAAAAAAATCAAACTGATAGGGGAAGACCCTCAGGGTTTCTGGCCAGAAGAGAAACAGTTTGCTGTGATCTAGGAGGGCCCAAAAAATAACCATGAAGTAGTGCTTGGGCCAGGACCTATTGTTGTCCAATCTGTGAGATCCTGAGTGAATTGGGTTTAAGGCTCGGTCTTTGAGAAAGAAATCTAACCAGTGAACCCCAAGTTAGCTAGGTAGTTTTTAGCCATCAAAATTTACCTTCCTTTGGGCAGAACACCGTCTGGTAAGAGGACAGGAGAGGAGAGGACAGGACGAGCTGAAGTACCCCACTAAAAATCGGCAAGGAAACGACAGGACATTTAGCTGACATTCAAGTTTGTCCCTAGGCCCTGATGAAGGACCTCCAGCGGTACTGGACGGACTGGCAGGTGTGGTTGCTGAGCACCCCTCTTAGCCCTTGTTGAAAGGCCTTGAAAGATAGGAGGGGTGCCGTAGGCTGGAGAAAGACAACTGCGCCCCTGATTTTTAGAAAAGGGAAGAGAACGGAGTCTGCCTGCAATAGGACAGTGGACCTGAACAATTTCTAACAAGATTATAGAATTAATGGTCAAAGGGATGTAATGTGATGTGATGAACAGTCACAGTTACATGGACATGAATACCAGACTGGTCATATTGGGCTTAATTTGAGGCATTTTAGGAAACATTGGTAAGCTAGCAAGCATACCAAGGGAGGGAGCCTAGACTGCTAAGTCCAAGGATTGTTTGACTCAGACTAGAAGGCTTGGGGCAATAGGATTCATAGCTTTAGAGCTGGAAAGCACCTCTATAGGGCATTAGGCCCATCTCTTCTTTTTCTAGATGAGAAAACTGAGGCCCAGGGTGCCACAGCTAGTATTTGTGTGAGGTGAGGGTCAAAGCCAAGCTCACTGCCTCCCAGTGGAAACTCTCCTTTTCTGTGGCACCAGAGTAAAGAAGTAGCTTTAGCGAATGGAAGTTAGAGAGAGAGAAGGGATCGATTCCTGACACCAAGAGCCATTTCCGAGGGGAGGGGTGACCTTGAGAGGTCCCTGGAGCTCTTCCTGCCAAGGCTGGCTGGCCACGTGTTGGCACATCATCGGAGGGATTCTTATGCTCACTGGCTGGGCTAGCGGCCTTTGAATTCCTGTCCGACTTGGGTTTGGTCACTGCCGTATTCCACCTGTAGCTGTGGAATGGTCAGTGGTCAGGGCGTCTGAAGTTGGATTAAGAGAAAAGACACCAGAAACAGCTTATTACTGTTCCTGGCCTCAGGGTCTTGATCATTTTTCACGTTGTTTTCTCCAGGTCTCAGCCCATCTCTTCTCCAGTCATCTTCCATTTTGGACACGCAGAGACGCTGCTGCCGCTGCTTTCTCTCATGGGCTATTTTAAGGACAAAGAACCCCTCACTGCCTACAATTACAAGGAGCAAATGAACCGTCAGTTCCGGAGTGGCCACATCGTACCCTATGCGTCCAATCTCATCTTTGTGCTTTACCATTGTGAGCACGCTGAGACTCCCGCCAGAGCGTACCAGGTGCAGCTGCTGCTGAATGAAGAGCCGCTGCCTTTTGTTCACTCGCCAGAAACCGTCGCCGTGTATCAGGAGCTGAAGGACCACTATAAGGATGTCTTGCAGAGCTGCCACTCGGACCGAGAGTGTGTCTTGCCAAATATCAACATCACATCTGATGAGCTCTGAGTGACTGTTGTGGTTCTAGAGGGAAGGATTCCATGTTGGCATGATAGGGTCGCTGGGCACTACCCTAGTGACAAAAAGCCCGAGTATTTCCGACTTCACAGAGAATTTCGTTATGGACCTGGAGAGAGAGCGAGAGAGAGAGAGAGAGAGAGAGACAGAGAGAGAGAGAGAGAGAGAG